CTATCATCTATCTATCTATCATCTATCTGTCTATCATCTATCTGTCATCTATCTATCATTTATCTATCTATTATCTATCATCATCTATAGATATATACTTAAAAGCAGATACTTAAAAAATAGATAGTAATCACAATACCAACACTTTTATGACACTTATTACATGCTAGGTATTCTAAGTGCTTTACTTAGAGGAACTCATTTCCATCCTTGAAATAATCTTGCGAAATACTGTTTTTAATCATTCCTAATGTACAGATGAGGGAACTGAGGCACGCAGGGGCTAGGTAAACTGACCAAGGTCACGCAGGTAGGAAGTGACTAACGTGGGATTCAGACTCTAGCTGGCCACAGGGTCTCTGCCCACAATCGCTGTTCAGTACCCTCTCTCTACACACTAATTTGAGACAGCAGGGAAAAAATAGAAAAGGGAAATCTCTCATAACCCGGCCACCCAGAAATTACCACTCAATATTTTTGTATCCATTATTTTTTATCTGTCTAAAAAAATTTTTTTTTGGTGTATATACACTGATGTTTTTTTTTTTAAAGGAAAAAAGATCATGCCATGTGCACCGTTTAACTACTTGTCTTTTTCTCATATCCTTCAATATGCAGCTTAATTTTTCATGGCTGTATTATATTCCATTATAGAATTGATTTAACTATTTCCTCGTGTTTCCCTTTTTTCAGTGATACGGAGAGCGTTGCCCAAACCATTCTTGTATGTAACTGCTTGGGGATTTCCTGTAGGTTAAATCCCTGGTATTAGAATTGCTGATAAAGGTTTTAGGTCCATGGCCCCCAATTATTCCCTTTAGTAAAGGGATCGTGCTTTATATTCCCACCAGCTCAGCAACCCTGGGCGTTTTTTATTGTTGTTGATAAACTTATTTTCTTGAATTGCCCTTTGTGGGCTAACGGTGCTTGGTAGGGGGATTCCGAGGGAGAAAGAAGGTGTCGGGACCTGTACAGGCGGGGCTCCTTGTCGCCCCAGTACCCTCGGTAAATCCATCGTTTTGATCGTTTTGGTGGGGGTGCGTGGGGGCCCGCGCCCCGAGGCAGGGCCCGTTTCACCCTGGCTCTCACCGGGGCTGCCGTCCGCTTGCCTGTTCTAGTGAGTGAGCTGTGCGCCGTGCCCGACGTCAGCAGCGTTCACGACGTGCACGTCTGGGAGCTCATCGGCGGGAAGATCATCGCCACCCTGCACGTCAAGTACCAGAAGGACCGGGGCTGTCAGGACGCCGGGCTGAAGATCCGGGAAATCTTCCACAGAGCGGGCATCCACAGCGTGACCATCCAGTTCGAGAGCGAGGACCCGCCGGAGCCCCTGGAGCAGAAGGACACGCTGTCGCTGTGCAGCTCACCTTGCATCTCCCAGGCCTGTGCCAAGCACCTGTGCTGTCCCCCCCGGGCCCTGCTGCTGGCCCACGTCAACGGCTATGCTGAGCACAACGGCTGTCCCCCTCTGGACATATACCAGAGCCAGGGCCCTGGGAGACCAGAAGTCTCAGAAGTGACCGTTGAGGTGTCCCTGGATGGCCGTGTGAGTGACCGTGGACGGGCTTTTACCAAAACTCAGGAGAACCAATGTTATGTCAACAGCACACATTTTTAACCCGGTACCTGCACATGCAGACTGTATAGACGAGGCACTTTGGACCCACCAGCGCGGCTGCTGGGGAGTTGTGTGGGTTGGAGGCACTGGCCAGCCCCCCCATGTACCCCCTCGGTGGGCAGGGAGGGGTTGGCCGTCTGGGATGTCAGTCGACCGTGTCTCTTAGTTTCCATGGGACTGATGAGATTCCCCGTTAGGATCCGGGATGGCTCACGCTGCTCTTCCAGTTCTGGTTTGCTCATTTATTTTCTGCAGCAAACTGTGCTGGTGTATATATACCAGGGACATGGAAGCCTGGAACTCGGTGACTGTGGACACGGGGCTCAAAGTAGGTTTTTTTTTACACCGATTAGAGCGTCTGGCTGACTCTCAGGTGAGCTCAGTGCCAAGGACATCGAAGAGACTTAAGAACCATAATAGCTATTCCCCGCCCCCCCCATTCCAGTGGAAGATTATAAGAGAGGGAAAATAGCAATTTTTTTCTTTGACTTATTTTAGGATAACTGTAAGAGGGATACCTATTAGGGTAGAAAAACTCTCAGAACATTAGAGAAAGCACAGTTTATTGGGGGTAGGGGGTGGGAGGAAGCAGGAGAAGAACGCTATTGGACCATTTCTTTTTGTGAAATGGAAAGAAAATGAATGTTTATTTTCTGCTGTGAACTGGGGTGTTTCAAATGTCTAAATATATAACGTGTTTTTTCTTTTTCACTCGGAAATATAGGAATGTTTCTACGTCCTTAAGTATGACACAGGTACTTATATACTGTCTTTCAGAGCCAGTCCGTTGGAACTGTTTTCATTTATTGCTAAATAATGATGTACTTATTTGCCCAAATTTCCTTTGTCTTTTTTTTTTTTTTTTTTTTAAATAAGATCACATTAATCTATGTAGCATTTACCAGGAAAAAAAAAAAAGCATTTCTGGGATAGAAGAATATATGACATTGAAACTCCTTCCTGCCCCCAAATTAAGTGAGAGTGATTTTTCTTTAATCAGACATATTTAAAAATATTTATTACAGTTGCCAGCTAGTAACTTAATGGAAAAGTGTGTGTCCAAGGTGAGGAATGAGAAGGAATTTCATTGCTGACTTTAATGTGTTTATGTCTATGACCACTTTCCTGTGTCTGACCCATGTTACCAAGTTCAAATACATTTGTTAGAATCTGATTTGGACCCATAACCATACCTGACCTTTGTTAGTATTAGAAAAGCGTCTGTTGTGTATTTAATAAATTGTCCAGGCAGCAATATTTTAGTCAGACCAGTCTCAAAATAGGTCTGAGAAAATGGGAGGCACCTCACAAGGGAACTAGAATCTTCTTTGATAAGGTTGCAAAGTTGGCTGGGAGTGACCCCCTCTGAGGCCCTAAGCGCTGAGTGCTGCCCAGGATTCATCAGAAATGCTGGGTTGGAAACAGAAGAAGCACTTACCTTTCTCAGCACAAACACCATTAAAATAATGTGTCTTAGTCTTAAATTCTAAGGCTAACATAAGTAAGCCATGGTCATCAGTAGCATAAAAACTTTTTTTAATCCTTGAAAATCTATTGTCTGAGTTTAAATTGGCCATGAATTAGGTAAATAGAAAAATACCTAAATATCTTTTGTCCTTAGGAGTTTATCGGGCTGGGCTATATATATGCTTATTGCTTAAAAAAAGGTGTTGGGGGTAGAAATATACGACAACATTTTATTTTTAAAATTAAAAGCGTGGCAGGTACTCACACAAAACGGGGGATTCACTGTGAAACTCACCACGGTGATGTGTGGACCCAAATCTCCTAGATGAATGTTGCTTGAAAGGCCTTTCTGGAGCCAAAGAAGAAATTTGCCTCTTACTTCCAAATGCGAAGGTCTAATTTGATTCCACGTCACTCTGCTTTTATTAAGAGGGGAAAATGCTCGTTTTATAATTTTTATTTGTAGTTTTCGGTATAATTTTTAAAGTATTTTTCTGGAAAGGAAATGGCACTTAACTCCACTATAATTAAATCTAACCTCAGAAAAGTATTTTATGAACAGACCAAATCATGGAGTAGAGCCAATGGGAAATAATACCATTTTTTAATAATAGACATTTGCCTGGGCACATTGAGTAATGTCCAGAGACGCTAAGCAAGTGCAATGTTTTTATATCGGGCTCGGGGCCTCACTTCCCATCTGAGGCCCTGTGATGCCTGCTGCGGGTATTTTCACTTGGGTTTCTCTAGCCCCTCAGCTGTCGTGCACTTTAATTCTCCCAAGGAAATGCCAAGAGCTCCTTTGTCCCTTTGACTCTGCTTGGTGGCAGTAGCAGCTGATAAACTGCATTTAGACAACTGTTTTTCTCTGAGATTAAAAAAAATAAAATACTGCCGCTCACTTTAGTGTTCCTGTGTGCTTAGGTTAATTGCAGAAAATTCTGTCTCTCTTTGTTTTTAGAACTGAAAATAATTTTTCACAAGTCTAGGGCACCGGGTCAGCCTGCACGCTGGCCTGGAGAACGCGGGGATGCCACTTAGCGTCGCTCCTCTGCCCTGTTTCTCCAGAAAGAGCCCTTTCCACAGTATTTCAGCACAGCTGCAGGAAGTACTGTCCACTTTTATTTTCCAACTTTCAATTTGATTTTGAAAATAAAGGTTAAATTTTTTTTTTCATGATCATTGGCCATCACGAATAGCCATAGGACTACCAGGCTCCATTGCTGATGGAAAAAATTTAATTTTTTGATAAAAAAATTCAATAAAATAGAGAAACATTGTTGCAGGAGAAATAAAAATAGTCTCTGTATTTAGTTGTGTTTTTTTGCCACCAGCTAACTCTAATAGAGGTAAATCAGGAACTTCAGTAGGAAGAGGTGCTTTGAATGTAAGGAATTTCCTGAGGTAGCTTGTGGGTTATAATAAAGCAGCTGCCCTGTGAGGCGGTGAGAGCGTTTGATATGCGTTCTCAGGCTTGGCATTGCTGACATGCTAAACTGGGTAATTCCTGGTTGTGTGCGGGTGTCTTGTGCATTGTAGGGTTTTAGCAGCATCCCTGGCCCGTATCCATGAGACGCCAGTAGCAACCTTCCCCCTACAAGTTGTGACAACCAAAAATGTCTCTAGATATTGCCACACATCCCCTGAGGGGTGGGGGTGGGGGGCAAAATGCCCCTGGTTCAGAATCTCTGATTTAACCTAAGGGTGCTTGAGGGATATTGTTGACTAAAGACCTGCTAGGGTGCAATAATACTTAAAATATTACCAATTCTGCAGAATTTGCTCTTTTATAATGTGTTTTAAAAGATGAGATCAAACTACTTACAAAAATAATCATGTCATGTCTACGTAAGAACTTTAGATATGTAAAGCGAAAATACAATTTCTAAAGAAGCCCTTACAGATTTGGTGATACAGATCCATCGTTACAATGCCAAATGTAATGAAAAAAAAAATTGGCTGTCACTAGTCTGTGATGATTTCCTCGACTCATGAATATTGTCCATGTGATGAACCCACTACAAAGTGGGATCGGAAAATAGACTAATAGATCCTTGGGGTCAAGGTGCCGAATTCTCCCCCAGTTTTAAACTTAATGAGGCTTCTTGTTATTGGTCCCTGACAAGCATCTCGTCTTAGTACTGGCGACAGGGCCAGACGTCAGTGGAAAGTCTTTACTGTTTATGGCTAACTTAACCCTTTCCTGAATCGTATCCAATTCCCCCCCTCCCCCCAAGAGGACAACATGCACTTTCTGCTTTGAAATGGTCCTGCTTTTAAATGTATCTCCACACACTTGCAATTAAAGGCTGAAAAAAAAAAAAAAAGAGACTGGTTTGGGGGAAAATGGGGAGCCATACGTGACCTGTGTTTCGAATTTGGACTGAGCGATGGTCACAGACTGGTTGTGCTCCTGTACGTGATGCATTGTCATCTGCTTGTGCTTCTGAGTATATTTGCACGTGAGTAGCCCCGGGAATGAAGCAGGAATGGAGTTATTGAATCGGGAAATCGGTTGCTCAAATGGGGCCTCCTCGGCGTAATTTAAACGTTCTTATGAATTAGGAGTTTACCTAACGCAGATGTGTCATTTTCCCGGAGCTTCCCTTCGCAGGTGTTTTCTTCTGGACCTTTTTGTTTACATGGAACTTTCTTGAATGTTGCCTGACGGATCCCCGGTGTCCTCTTGGTACAAAGGCAGGCCAGGCACTGGGAACCTGCTCTGCCTCCTAACGGGACAATGAGTTTCAAGGGAGAGCGACCCCTCCCTGGGGGCCTGAAGTTATGTTACAGTATCGTGGAGTTTTGTTGCTTCCAGTCTTCCCTCTGTCCTCACAGGTGATTTTTTTTTTTTTTTTTTTTTGCCACAATGCAATTGTCACATTTGGGGGAATTATGAAAACCTTAAGGTATAAAGTCGAAATAACTCAGTGCTAATTGTATGTAAAGCCCCCCACTGATGTATGCACATACGCGTGCTTTTCACGGTGAAAGATGTTCAGTGGTGCTGTAAATAAAAATTAGAAAATGTAAACACGCGGCTGAGATGTTTGTGGAAATTCGCCAGGTAGCTCAAGGCCTTGCTCGCTTCCTCGCAGTCAAGGTGTCACTCAGGAACTCTTCAGATTGGTTTTACTGAATTGGGGCTCATTCTCTGTCTCCTTTCTGCCGCTGTCTTCACGCCCCTTCAAACTTCTTGTCAACCCTCCAGGAGTGGGGACCAACTCCAAGCCGGTCCCTGGAGCTCCTCCCTTGCCCCAGGCCCTCAAGCCTTATTTTCTGCAGCAGACAAGAGCACAGACGATAACTACAGAAGTTACAAGTCCAGAGGGTGTAGGGATGGCGTCTGTGTGGATGAACGAATCTAGTTTTGTGTGAGTTGGGGAGTGACTATTAGCAGCCTGTTCCTTTTTTGCTAAAAAGACATTTTCACTTTTTTGAGTTTTGAATGACATTTGCCAAGTCATTTCCTTTCTGGTTTCTTCTCC